GCACTCTTCGGAGCTCAGGAACTTGGTCTTCTTTACGTTCAGCCGGAGTCCATTTTCAGCGAGCAGATACTGCCACTGCTGCACCTTGTCTTGGAGTTCTTCCCTGCTGTCCGCTATCAGGGCGATGATCGTGCAGCGTGAAGAGGATGGTTTTCAGTGGTCCCTCCATGAGTTCTTTTGCCATGACATCTAGAGTCAGGAGGAAGAGGAACGGGCTGAGGGCTGATCCTTGGTGTACCCCAACCGTAATGTTTACCTCTTTCGTCAAGCCGTGAGGGGTGCGTACAGCTGCTTTAGCCCCATCATACACACTATGGAGATCAGGTACTCCGGAACGTTACGTTCTCTGAGCGCTCTCCAGAGTACAGGCCGAGGCAGGCGGTCGAATGCCTTCTCAAGGTCCAGGAAGGCTAGGTAGCAGGGTCGCCGCTTCTCTCGGTACTTCTCCATCAGCTGTCTGGCGATGAAGATGGCATCGGTGGTGGACCTCTCGGGCATGAAGCCGAACTGTTCCTGCGAGATCGGGACAAGTTCCCTTAGCCTTGTGTTGACCAGGCGCTCGTACAGCTTCATGGTATGGGGAGTCAACTTGATGCCGCGGTAGTTGGAGCACTCCGTCGGTCCCCTTTCTGTTTGAAGATGGGGACGATTGTGCTGCTCCTCCACGCATCTGGCATCCTTCCTTCAGCTGTTACGTTGTTTAGGAAGTCTGTGAGCCAACTCACCCCATGCTCTCCCAGGGCCTTCCATGCCTCTATCGGCACCCCGTCTGGACCCACTGCTTTCCCCACCTTCATTCTGCCTAGCTCTCGGCGGACTTCATCTTCCGTCCAGGGAGCGATGGGGCCTGCCGTCGCCTCTATCTGTGGGCTGTCCTTGCGGAGAATTCTTCGCTCAGAAGTCCCTCGAAGTATACTTCCATCTCTCCTGACTTCGGTGGTTTCCTGATAATGGCCCCATTGCTGCTCACAGTCTTACGAACCCTGAGTCTGAGGGACTTGGTCCATATTCTCATGACGAGAGTATTGTAGTTGCTATGTCGCGCGATTATTATGCATTTTAGATGATGTTTCTCCATTCAAAGAACCAAAGCTTCATGGGTCGAGGAATAAGACACTCATGGTCGCAGATATACGAATATCAGCCCTGAAACTCCATCGCTCGTGCTTTAATTTTGTAACAGATAATAAATAATCAACTGGTAAGCGAAATTGTTTCGCCAACTCTGTATCGCTGAAAGCACCGAGGTAGTTGAGTATTTCAAAAAAAACCAATCGTTCCGTTTCAGGCTAAGGGATGGCACGAACCAGCTGACTGTGAAATACTTTTCGTAGGTCTAAATCGTTTCAATAGGTCTTATAGAAGCTTATGTGTCCTACCACGACAATGCTCCATCACCACACTATCCGAAAAGCAGCTCAGTCCTCTCCTAATAAAAAAAAACTGCACCAGCGATGACAAGGAGGACGGAGGGAAAGTTCAGCTTTTTTTTCCTTTCACACCAATCAAAGTGATTTCATAGCATTTTGCTTCCCTGTTTCATTCTTGAATTTTGCATACCGCCGCAACGCGAAACAATTCTAAATGTCAATATAATCCTACTGAAAATGTGACTCACTAGTATTTTCTCTACCATCTATCGAACGGCGAATGAAAACAACCTTTTTGTCACAATCGAGATTGAAAAAAAACCAGTATTCGCTGTGTTGGCAAACGTTTTATGAATACGGTAACCATCTGTTGTCGACAATGAAGTTTTGAAGTAATGCTGAGTGCATATGACTTTTTGACTAGAGTACTGACTTGTAGTTTTAAGGCAGACGACTATTCATCACATCACAGAAAACGTTGAAGCTCCCGTCTTTTATCGAATGTTTCAATCCTCAAAGACAGGTTTCAATCCTCAAAGACAGTTCACTGCCAGTTTCCTGACCTCGCAGGGGGGGGGGGGGCAGGGCACGCCATCGTTGTGATCATCACAACAGGGGGTCGTATTTGACCTCGAGGGAGGGGGGTCGTAAGCGCGGGGACCTTTCTGAAGTGAGGGTGCAGCGATACCCAGCTGTCGTTCAGCTTCAATGATGAAAGACTTATCCATGTGAAGGACCTCTGAAGAGACCCACACAATACAGAAGCAACCTGCCAGCGCAGAAATGGGGAACGGGCGATGACAGGGAATATGATGGCCTCCCACAACGACGTCATGAATTAATATCAAAAGATAAAGGATAAAGTCTCCGCCGTTGATCAACCCTTTGTGGGATGCGGCACGCATTCTACTTCCATTCAGAATCGCAGTGGCTTATTGAATGCGATGTGGCCTATACAATGACTTGCGGTGGCCAGCCGATGTACAAATCAGTGTTTTATCCTCCCAGGCGAATCTGGTACCATCTTACCGTCCCCGGAGGGTAGAAGGCTTGGTTGGCCTAGGCGAAAGTCGACCCGGGATTTGAACCCGGCATCGCGCGAGTGGTAAGCGCGCCACTTGTCACTACACCACCTCCGCGCCAATGAATATCCGCCATGAACTAGTGAACAGATGAAAATACACTTCCGAGCCTTTCTGACCGTGCAAGCACATCTACCTGCACGAAGGAAGCCCTTTCTAGAAGTTACACCTTCCCAATGACTGCGTGAAAGTGCATGCATGAGAGGTGATGCCAATTGGGGCGCAATGAGAGGTGATGCCAATTGGCGTCCAATGAACTATTTCCTGGTATCCTTGGCAAAAACATGCGTTTTAGAAGCATACCAATGTCTTAAAGCCAACTGGAGATTTTCTGGCGTCGGAGGGGTTGATTTTTCGGGCCGTGGGGGAGTGATTTTTTTATGATCACAACGGGGAAATTTTTCGAATAGCAGGCCTAGCGATAAAATGAAAGTTGTGCTGGAAAGTAGAAAGCTTCATGCTTCCGGCATTTTACGAAAGGCCGTGTATGAAGCTTGCCATGGATGTCCAAAGCGTAGCGACTTGTGGTTGGCCCCCCATGATCACAAGAGGATCACAACGGTGAAACTTTCTAGAAAGGAAATGTTTCAGAAATCGTTCAATCCAGGTAACAAGAGCCAACCTAGCTTGTTCAATCCAGGTAACAAGAGCCAACCTAGCTCTACTCATTCCCCCCCTTCCGAGAGTTTTACTTTCAACGAAGTTATAGGTGTTCAAAAAGGGGTACTTTCGAGTGTTTGGCTTGAAATTGATCCCAGGTCGTAAAATAACGCGCTCCAATGCGCTTGTACTAGCGCGGTTGCGTGCGGATGAACGTGGTAATGACCGCGAGCAATCGCTATTCAAACGCAATTTGATCGATATCGTTCTGTCCAAGCTTATCCAAGCCATGATATCTGAAACTGCTTAATTCATATTCTTTGTACCATAGTTCTTCCCCTCTTATTGGTTTTGAGAGTTTACCAAATTTCTGTTGAATGCGAACTACAGTAGTCTATCTCGTTAACTTCGTATACGGGTAGTTTTGGTGATAAGCGCTTTTCAGTATAGCCATGTTTTTTGCTCGTTGCTTCGCTTCCATCACCCTTTTCCGTCAATCAGCAGATATCCAGCGAGAAAGCTCTATGTATGTTTGTTGCTTGAAAATAAGAGCACAGTAAATGTTTGTATTTCGTAACGAGGTAACTAAGGTCCCGCAATTAGCGGGAAATGATCACAACGCAATGGCGTGCCCTGGGGGGGGGGCTTGGTTAGCCGCCGTGGTTTATTGCACGCAGCGCACCACTTACCAGAACTCCGCCACCGCCTTAATACTAGCAATTATCAGAGGGAGAGCAGTGCTATCCGTTACAGCAACAACAATAACAACAACCAACGGAATCATTCGGGCCCTTGTGCGCTAGAGTGAGGCAACTATCACTTTCACAGGAAAGCCTTCGGTGATAAGCCTTGAAGGGCAGAAGATCGAAACCAATCATCATGACTGCTGGAGATCCTTCAAGAAGAATTCAGACGGCTTTTCTCAGGCCAGTCCGTCTTCAAAATTGCAGCAACGCTTTGATAGCTGTTTAGTAATTGTTTTTTATGAGAAAATTTTCACCTCGATATGACCTCCCATCCCAAGTACTAAACATCAAAAACGTCAACTTGCCATTTCTCATCAACTTTTAGGTGCAAACATCGCTGACAACTACGCCAACTACAATTCCATCGCTACGCTGACCACAGCGCGCTTAACTGAGTAACGCGTAAGCAGAAGGGCAGCCTGCCTGCAAACGGAGTTAAATCAAGCAGTTTTTACAAAAACAAAACTTCAGTTGGAGATCACAGGTCTCCAAATCCTTATAAGTTGTATTCAGCCGGTGGAAGCATCTTCGGGATCTGGCGGTCGAAAACAGGATTTTTATGACAAATGAAAACAAACGCGATGGCGGATATGAGGGGATCAATTTACTTTGCGTCACTTCACGCAGGTAAGACTCTCAGTCTGCTACTGTCTAGACCGTTAAAAATTGAATGGTGTGAAATGAAAAGGTGTGAGAGGATCGTAGATGTGTATACCTGCTGTATAACGAGTGAGTTGTCCATATTTCTCTACAGGTAGCTTTGGACGCTCGAAAAACCACTGCCTAGAGCTGGCTTGGGGCTGCTCACCCGAATCCCTTGAATATCTGCCTTCTTGGCACTATTCGTCATTTATCAAGGACCGCAAGCTGCATAAGAGCATCAGATATTTAGATATGGATGTAATATTACGAAACTGGTGTTGGGAAACCCTCTCAACTGCGACGCGTGGCAGTCATTTTTTGAACACTGGAAGAGAAAAACTAATCTTGTTATGATTGAATTTGATGAAAAACTTCTTTGTAGTACTGCGACACTGCTACGCGACTTCCCCGCTATTTTACAATTATTACATTTTTTTACACGCTGTTTTGTACCGAATGTGGGGGACGATAAAAAGTGGATGAAAAATGAGCCCTAGCCGTCGTTTCACTGTTTTTGAAACATTCAATAACAAAGGAAAAATTGATCGGATATCCTGAATATGGAAAGTGGGAAGGTTGGGCTGGAACCACTACTTAAGCAAAGGAGTGGAATACTAGTCGACACTCCGGCAATGCGTTTCCTGTCTCGTGTGTCTCTTGCACTGCTGGTCAGTTCTATGCCCCGCTTGAGTTGTGAGCTTTTTTGGTATTTTTATAACTTCGGTATCGGTTCAGCTAGCCACAGCAACATTAGCTCAGTATGATAACGGAGAAGATTACGACTATAAAGACTACAACGGTGGCGATAATGGAAATAACGGAGGCAACACAGGAGGCCAAGTAAAACCTCCCGCACCAGCACCAGCACCAGTAGCGCCAGTGGTAACAACAACTGTGAATCCAAGTGAGCCACAATCACACTTAAACTACGAGACGCTGCTTACATCGCCGTCCGGCCTCTCAAAACAACAAAATGCGTTTCTGATTTTGCTTATTCTCAGAAAAAAAATTTTAAAAGCACTCCATTTTTCCAGACAACATGAGGTGCCCACAAAATAGCGGTGTGAATGACCGGATAAGAAATGCTGCACTTGAAGGTCACAACTACAGAAGGTTCAGTTCAATTTTACTATGTTCCACATCTTCAACAGTTCATCTTTATCATCTGGTCAAGAGAGGCACTTCAGTTGCAACCTACTGTAATGAAGTTATTAAGGTCGAATCTTGCCAAAGGATCGGTCACGAATAAGAACAACAAAAACCTTCCACCGGCGAGAAATATGCTTAAACTGGTAAGTAGGCTTGATCTCAATAGGCTGATAGGGGGTGCTGGTAAAAACAATCCTCTGTGAGCACAAAGTTTATTGCGAAAGAGGGAGCTGTTTTCCCATGTAGAAAGCTGTTTATTGTCCAGCTTCAGAGAACTAGAGAGGTCAGTGTCTTTACAAGACGTCACAAGACAGTCTTCCCATATGAGTACGAAAGCGCATCGTGATCTCCGAAACAAACTCTGAGCAGTCGCAACGTGGGAGCTGATATTCTTTTTCACGGTTAAGGCATGGCTACAGCAGGAGTGGGATGGACTGCTCAAAAAACTTTTAGAAGTTCATGAATGACACAAGCACGAGCATTGATACCAAAGAAATAAAGTAAACAATATCATAACAAAACAGCTTCAAATATTGATACTAAAACTTTCGCGGTATAGCGCTCCTAACTTACTGGAATACCCCTGAGATCTGTGGTCTGCCCTGCCTGGGCTAAGTGATTATTGTATTCCAACACACTGAGGGGTCCCAGCTCGCAGGACTTTTCCACGGCTTGGTACCGGCGCTCCGTACTCCGGGATTCTGTGAGACTTAGCTGAACATCAAGATCTCGAAACCGTTGAAAGAACTTACTCTATTTTGCAATTTTCTTCGGCAAATCTGTGTAATGCGCACACGGCTTCTCGTTCTAGGAATATGAATGCACACTGGAAACTTCGGCCTAAAAAAGCTGTGGATAGATGCTCCACAAGTCCGTCGTCAGGCCTTTCATCTGGTGTACAGGAAAACATCTATAGTCTTCGACAAGCCAGCGTTTCTTGACCGTGTTAATGCCATGAGAGAGGTTCATATTAAATGTACCATATTGTTGTAGCATATTGATAATCGGTAAGTGAGCTATTCGTTCAGGCGATGAAGTATTGGTGGAGTCAGCTGAGAGTGGTCGGTACTGTTGGGACTGGAGTCACGTTCAGAAGTTCCCAGTCGGGTAGTCCAATCAGCTATTTCACCAGGGTGAGGCTGCTCACGACAAGCTAACCTATTTCTGTGGACAGATCTATGGGGACGCAATCAAATGGGGGGGGGGCCGTAAGTGGTTCTACCCCGAATTCTCTCAAAACGTTTTCATACCGTAACACGACACCGTAAGGAAGAGAAATATGAAACAACGTGCTTCAGATGGCCTGGGCAACCACTGCAAAGATTGGATGTGCTGTTACACAGAAAAACAAGTGCCCCAATTCTTATTATATTGCGTGCCACTACCAGATTGGGTACTATTCTTCTTCTTCCTTAGTCCATCCTATCTGATATCTCAAATGAGTATTTTCAGAGGTAATGTACCCGATGCTAAGATCTACACTCCAGGCAATGCATGCTCTCAGTGTCCCGGTGGCTATCGCTGTGACTCAGACAAGCTGTGCGCTCGCTCTTAGACGATTATCTAACACTTCAACTCAATAAATGCCTTCTCATGTTTTTTTCACATGTGAACTCCGTTTGCAGTTCCCATACTGCGATGGACAAGAAGCTTAAGCATTCGGTAATGAGAGCAACACATTTCCAGGAAAGAGTTCTAATGGAATGCACCTCAAGAATCGTTTCTGCACTTGGTCCTGCCTGAAAGAGGGTAGCAAGCTACGTTAAAGATCCATGGCATAATGTTAGCGAGGTATTTCTCTATGAGCATGAGCAGCAAGCACCCTCCCCCATCCTACATGCTCACACAAGGTGAAAGGATCCGTTATGGCCGTCGGGCTCCAGATACCTACTGTCGCGCCAGCCTGAAGCACCAGTGTAGCTTCTATGGTTGAGTCACCTGTGTGCACGTGGGTTTAGTGGACCCAGGGGCTGAGGTCAGTCTCGGATTGCTGAGTTATGAGCAAAGTTCGACCTCAGGGACTCGAACACACACCTCAACCTTCCATGCGAATGCGCTACCCGTTAACCACTACGACAGCTCTTACTGTCTCAGCTCGACGGCCTTTAATCTGTAGTTTTATACTACTCACGCGCTGAAGTATCTGTGGTGAATGTCCACATTACCCACACCGTCATTCCGTAACATTTCACGGGTACCAACCACCACAAATGTCCCTTTTTGCCTCCCCACTCCTTGTACGTTTAACCGGTAAAAAAATCCCAACAAATCGAAATGGACACTCACTGCGATATTCAAATGCTACTGGTCTAACTGCCTTGCCGTGTTCTGATACGTTGCAAATTTCAGTCATTTCGTGTCCACCAAGCCCTTCCTACAACAAGCTATCGCAGCGGACCACAAGCTACTTGAATAAGTAATCAGACACTTTGTCAGGATACAGCATCGTTGAGCGAAGCCCATAGGGGCCGTACTTGGCCGCTGGGGAGGGGCGTACTGTGAACAGATGGTCGGTGTGAACCAAACAGCACAAAAACGTTATCGCCAAGTTTGATGGAGCGAACGAAAAGAGGCAGGAACCCATCAGAACCAACAGATTATTATCAACTCGTATATAAGCTCGTAGATGAACAAAATACATCTCAAACAGATTCGTGCCTATCGTCTTTTCGACATCTCACCAAACTGCTTGCATGCAAACAACACCTAAAGTAAGAAAGTGGACCTTTCCCCACCTCTGCGTAGAAGCAGTAATGCACGCACCAAATCCATCGACCATAATCAGATTAAACTTTCACTCAGTTCAATGAAAGTGTGTGTTTTGAAGGCGTGTTCAGGAGTGAGTATCCTTGGAACGGCGCAGTGGAGGATGAGCTTTTCAGTGTCTCAGTATGTCGCCCGAGTGTGCCCCATCACAGACATCTTCCAAACTAGTGGGTCTTCAGTAGAAATGGAGAGTTTGTTTAAAAGAGAAAGCACTGAGGTTCACGACAGAATTTTCAGCTTTTTAAAAAAATTGCGTTTGAAAGAAGTTATTCTCGTCTGAAGCAAAAACACGCTTGGGATTTACCACTGACGCGCCTTTAACCAATCCTGAACATTTAACGAATGAAGAAGATTTAGAATGCGGATAGGTAGAGAACGCAACAAAAGAGGCATTGCTCCAACATGCCGCCTCCCGTTTCCCAAAAGCCCTAAGGCTGCGTTTATACTTTGCGGCAGCGTAGCGTAGCGCTTCCAGCGTACGCCAGCGGCAGTGCCGGGGAGAGGATATCGATCTAGCGTTCCCAGGGCACAGCATCAGTTGGGGATCCTGGTTGA